GGTGCGTGCGTGCCCAAGATCCCGAGAGGAGAATGGAGGAGAAGGGATTGCGGTGTGACCCCCCCCCCGGGGGGGTGATTTCTCGCTTTCTGTCTCTATGTCTCTCTCTGTCTGGCGAGCGCACGCGCCCTACAGTGAAAATCTCTCAAAAAAAACACAAGGTAATTGAGGGAACCAGCAGTTAGCATAATGGCTGTGTCGCTGGACTCCCATGTAGTCAACCACAATTTGCATCCCGGACCCAGTGGCTTAAACTCACGTCAGGCGCATGTGCATGTGTGCCCAAGATCCCGAGAGGAGAATAGAGGAGAAGGGATTGCAGCGTGACCATCCCCCCTGGGGGGTGATTTCTCGCTTTCTGTCTCTAGGTCTCTCTCTGTCTGGCGAGCGCACACGCCCTATAGCAAAAACTTCTCAAAAAAAAAAAAAGGTAATTGAATAGTGATGGTGCAATTATATGTAATTCAGTCAAATTCAGTTTCTTCTAGGTAACTGCTTCAATAGACACTACTAATTTGTAGTTGTAGTGTGTTTGGTTAAAAAAATAGATTAAAAATAAAAACCTGCTAATTAAAGCTTTTAAGTAAGCCAAACTATGTAGTTTACTATAGAGAATCTAAGCATAATGCCTTCCAAAGACATGCTTTACATTAAAGGGCCATCAACATTGTATTTGTGTTATTGTTGACAGTTTGCCAAATTTCAAATAAATGATCTTTCTACTAAATATAAGAGTTCTGTTTGTTCCAAGAACCCATAACTTTTTCTCAGTGTTTTTTCTATTTGAATGAAAGTATTAAAATTGTTTTTAGTTAACACGACAGTCATGGTTATCTAATGGTCCTCCTCTCCTGAAGAGTATAGATTAATGGGAAAAAGCCTTTTGTTGCCCGTGTAATTCAGCATATGACCGTCTGCCAATGCCTCATACTTCGTGGCAACATCAACTCTCTACATTCTGGAACACAGCTATATCCTGTCTCTAATGAGACTTGCTAAGCAAGCGACCACCACAGAGCATAGAATGCTGTGTCACAAATGGCTATATTAAAAATGGTAATGTTTTATACCAATTACATTTTGAATGAGCTGAGATTTTTAAAGTAATTTTATTTATGACTGTGTAACATTTTCGTAACAGATGGCATTGAAGCCATTTCCCTGCTAGGTAAAAAAGAAACTTCTTCAACCTAGAAAGAGAAAGAGCTAGAAGACTTCATGAAAGTGAAGAAAAGCTAGATTACCACTAAGTTAGAATATCTGGCTCAGTATATCTTTTGCCAATTCATTTCTAATTAAATATCTTTCAGCTACTCCAAGGAGGTTCAGAGCAGATGCTACGTTCTCTACATCTCCAGAAATCCCTTTCATCCTACAACTATATCCATGTAGGAGCTCCATTAAAGGTAAGACTTTCCTCTTTGTAATTGCTCAGATATAGAATCAGACTGTCAGAATCAGGAAGGACATTAAATATGTATCTGGTCAAGCCTGAAGCCTTTAAGCAAATAAATGTCTCTTCTGTTCTATTTTTAAAATTCTCAGGGACAGAGATTCAATACATTATTGAATCAATAGCTTTGCTTAGTAACCCATTACTGTATTTTATCACCATCCGACAGGAAAGAGGTTTCTGTGTTCAATTTTTAAAATTTTTAATCTGTTCCTATTCTATTCCTATTTTTTTTTTTCATTTTGACACAATAAAATTAACATTAGGACTAGGAAGTTTACCTCCTGAGAGAGAAGATTCCATATGATTTGGCCAAAGGCAAGTTGATAAGACAAAAGGAATTAAAAAGCACTCTCAGAAGTACCTTATAGTAAAGGGAAGCACATGAGTTTATAGTTGCAGATACCTTCTCTGAGCAATTAGTCAAAAGTGAATACACCACCAACTGACTGAAATTCAGAGAAGAGAGACTGCAGAGTGAGCAGTAAAAAGTATGGAGCTGCAGAGAGCACAGCTCATCTCCTCCCACACACCTCTGAACTCAGTTGAAATGGCATGGGAGAAACTTAAGTGCATATTACTAAATGGATGGATCAGAAGATGTTATTCTGAAAATGGGATGTAAGAAGTTATGCAAAGAACATGAAAAGAAGAAAAAATGTGAAAAAAATTTTTTTGCTGCATCCATGAATCAGGATTTAGATTATCACACTTCCCTGTGAAAAAAGAGAAACCAATTGAGGCTATGTATTTATTTAAGACTTTTGAATTTAGGCTTTTAATTGTCATTATAATGATGAGAGGAAGAGCTATCTGGTGTACGAACATGGTTCTTAGATCTCTTTTGATTCTTCATAGGACTCATTAAAGAAAATATACTCATTCCGATTTAGACCACCGAAGACCCTTTGCCCAGACTTCACCCTTCTGCTCCCTAGTCTAGCCAGGAGCCAGGTTAAGCCAGTCAGCATCCATCTATATTTGAGTTCAGAGCGGCCCCATTCAGGGATTTCAACCACTGAAGACTCTCTGCTTAGACTTCAACCTCCTGCTCCCCCGTCTAGCCAGGAGTCAAGTTAGAAAATCCTACTTGCTTTGTCTCTTTCCATATCTCACTATTTTTAATTTTTAAACTTAGCTCTCTGCTACTCTTTTGTCTTTCTCTTTCCTTTTCCCCTGCCCCTATAGCATAAGCCAATGAGCAGGCATCTATGTTTGAGTTCTGAGTGGTTTTCATTTTTTGACAAAAATTTTTTTTCTCTTTTTCCCATTGTTGTTGTCGTTGTTGTTGTTGTTGTTGTTGTTGTTTTTCTTCTTCTTCTTCCTCCTCCTCCTCCTCCTCCTCCTCCTCCTCCTCTTCTTCTTCTTCTTCTTCTTCTTCTTCTTCTTCTCCTATTCCTTTTCCTTTCTTTTTACCTTTCTCACTTTTCTGCTCAGCCTTCATACACTGATTTTCTAGATAGGTCTAGGTGCTCACTAGCCAAATATCTGAATACTTCTAGGGTCAGATTAATCTTCAATTTTCATTGAATCATTTGTGCAAAGGGAGAAAAACTGTACTGTTTACAGATTGCAGCTCACCTCCTTCTGCATTCCTCTGATTGCTCAGATTTAACGCCAAAAGATAGCAAAAATACATAATCCATCAGATGATCAGAAACCACCACAGAGGCACAAGAAATATGGGAAATCAAGAAAATATTTCTCCCCTAATGGAAAAGGGTAACTCCTCTTCCTCCACAAAGAATACAAGAGAATTAATGGAAATGTCAGATAAAGGATTTAAAATATTCATAGTGACAAAGCAAACAGATATGTAAGATAAGAGAGACAGCAAACTCCAGAAAATGTAGGAGAAAAGAGACTCTGAGTTCCAAGAGGTGAGAAAGTTCTTGCACAATCTTGAAAGAGGAGACACATATCATAAAAAAGAATCAAATGGAATTGTTAGAAATGAAGGCCATAATACCGGAAATCCAAACTTCCCTTGAAAATATAAGAAGCAGGTTAGATTATACAGAAGATCGAATCTCAGATGTAGAACATAGAACCTCTGACATAGAAAAATTCACCAAAATGACTGAGAAAATAACCCCCCAAAATGAGAATGATATACAAGAAATACTAGATGCCATTAAACACCCTAACAAATAATCGGTATCTCAGAAGGTGAAGAAATTAATATGGGTATTGATGACTTATTCCATGAAATACTGGAAGAAAACTTTCCAAACCCAGAGAGGTATTCAAATATCCAGACCCAAGAAATACAAAGGACCCCACATAGAATCAACCCAAGAAAATCTTTCCTGAGGCACATCATAGCCAGGTTGACCAAAACCACAGACAGAGACAGGATACTCAAATAGCAAGAGAGAGAAGCATCAAGTTACTTTCAAAGGGTATTTCATAGTGCTAGAGAATGATAGAAGTCTCATCAGAAACAATGCAAACACGGAAAGAATAGGAAAATATATTCAAAGTGTTAAGTGAAAAACAATTTCAAAACTAAAAATACTATACCTGCAAGATTATTTTTCATATAGGGAAAAAAAGACAAAAACATTCTCAGACAAAACCTGAAAGAATTTACCAACACCAGAGCAGCTCTCCAAGAAGTTCTGAAGGGAGTGCTATACCAGGAAAACTAAAGTCAGACACACAGAAATAAGAGTACAAGAAGCAACCAAGAGAATGGCCAGCCTAATGGTAGGGACAAGTCTGGAGTTGAATGTTTCTTTGAAGTTTTGATTTCCATATTTAGGGATTTTTGTCTTTTGAACTGTTGATAGGTTCATCTACCTACTATTTGAACTAAATCCTAACTTTTTTCTTTAAGTTTTAAGCAAATTGCTCTTAACATTTTATTTTGATCTATTAAAACTAAAACTTTTATTGAAATTAAAAAATGTATTAAAAAATTCTATTAATACCTTATTTAATGACTGCGGTAAGCTGTATAGCCTCAGCAAGGTGCTACTTTATAATGTGTTTCCCAATAAAATGTGGGGGGGAAGGTATGGAATACAACTATACATACTAGAGACAGTGTGAGAGAAGGGGGGAAGTTGGCAGAGGGTGAGAGGTAGGGAATCAAAGGGGAGAAATAAAGCAAAATACATAAGAAACAAAAAATAGAAAATTATTTGTTGATGATAGAATGTATGGTAAGATCCTTGGTTTGAGTCAATATACAATGTATACTGGATGGAAAATCTCATTTTGTATACTGTATTGATGTACAGTGAATGACTATAAATAAGTAAATAGATAAATTAATTAATTAAAAAAAGAAAATATGCTCATTCCAGTTTTCAATATATATCTCTTTACAAACAAACAAAAATGCACTCTCATTTTCCACTGTGTTTTTGTGGAGTTTTTTGGTTGCTATTTTTTGAGTGAGAGGTGTTATTAGTTTTTTTTAAATTTATTTATTTTTAAATTTATTTTCATTTAATCATCTGTCTTTACAGTATACATTTCTTTTTCCAACACAAATACCATGCATGTCAGTCAAGACAAAGGCATTACTATATACATTATCACTAACAAATAGCTTCTCATTTTTTTGTCAATTAAGCATACTTTTACCAGTTTTTTCCTTCTTCCTCTTCCCTCCCTCCCTCCCATACTGAACTTTTTTTCTTTTTCACATTTTATTGATTCACAAAAGACCTTAAAGTATGGACAAAGCTAGAGTCTACTGACAAGTGCACTGTAGTTTTCTTCTGAAACATTTTCCCCCTCTCTCCATTCCCCTTTTACTAAAAAAAGGTTTAAACTAACTTATTTGGAAAAATTAGGTTAATCTCAATTTGGTCTGCTATTTGCACAAAGCCCCATAAGAATTCAATTTCTGATGCAAGGTAACAGATACTATTGTATTATTGAACTTATACAAATAACCATTCTGCCACAAAATAAGAATACTCACAAATATTTCCAATTACAAAGAGGTTAGGAAGGGAGAAAAGCTTGTTTAATGAAAAAACATCCTTTTTTTTTAACAAATTGTTGAACCTGACAACTCAAAAGAAAACAAAGATCCTCAAATCTGGAAGACAAAGCATAGACAAAAATAAGTTTTTGGTTTTTTTTTTTTTAAGTCATAGAATTCTATTTCACCAGTTCAGTCTTGTTTTATCTCTCTTTTATTGAATTTGCAGTTTCACTGTGGTCTGACTTTCTGTTAACATTCAACATTATTATTGATGTTTCAGAACTTGTCCCTACCATTAAATTGGCCTTTTTCTTGGCCATTTTTTGTTCTCTTATTTGTCTGACTGTCTGTAGTTTTCCTGTTATAGTACTCCCTTCAGAACTTCTCAAAGAGCTGGTCTGGTGTTGGTAAATTCTTTCAGGTTTTGTTTACCTGAGAATATTTTTATCTTTTCTTCCCTTATGAAAGATAATCTTGCCAGATATAGTATTTTTGGTTGAAATTGTTTTTCACTTAACACTTTGAATATATTTTCCCATTCTTTCCTTGCTTGCATTGTTTCTGACAAGAGTTCCAATGTTAACCTGATGGGATATTCTTTGAAAGTAGCTTGACATTTCTCTATTGCCAATTTTAGTATCCTGTCTCTGTGATTTTGGTCAACCTGGCTATGATGTGCCTTGGGAAAGATCTTCTTGGGTTGGTTCTATGTGGGGTTCTTTGTATTTCTTGGGTCTGGATATTTGAGTGCCTCTCTAGGTTTGGAAAATTTTCCTCCAGGATTTCATGGAATAGACTATCAATGCCCTTATTAGTTTCTTCACTTTCTGGGATACTGATGATCCAGATGTTTGGGTGTTTAATGGTATCTAGTATTTCTTGTATATTATTCTTATTTTGCGGGATTATTTTGTCAGTTTTTTTGGTGATTTTTTTTTAGATCAGAGGTTCTGTCTTCTACATCGGAGATTCGATCTTCTGCATAATCTAATCTGCTTTTAATACTTTCA